GCTTAACCGACTGCGCCACCCAGGCGCCCCTCATCTTATCTATTTTAGATGAACAGTGTTGCAATTTGGGGAAGGCACGTACATATTAATAGTTAAAATAAAACCTTGGTTTGTGAGCATATTCATTCTGGAAGCATGCTGATAATCCAAAGCACCTGTATATCAAAGCAAATTTCAAGAACCATTGGATCAGTTGTGATCCTGTGATGTTTGACATCACATACCATTCGTATTGCAGGACATCGCTCGTTTGTCAAGTTAAAATTTATTAGAAATGTTTTCTTGTCTTGCAGAACACTCACAGAACAAGTTACTTGCAATCCAAGGTCTTACTGTATTTAAAATCCAACAGGGGCCTAAACATTACACAGTTGAAATGTTCTTTATAAAGGGGTTAAGAAATATAGATAAATTATTCAGGATAATTTGTCCATATAATGATGTAATATGTGATCATTCAATACTCTACCCATATATTTAGCGTCTAGTATCATCTAGCATCTAGCCAGTCAATTGTTTTGCATGGATGTGAAGATTTGAAGTCCTTAGGCACAAAAACACTCACATCATGATCTCCCCTTTACATAGTTTTGATTGCCATGAGGTTGCCAGAGAAATTTAGAGAGGGAGAGATGACTGAGATTTAGTTTTTTCCAATTGAGTATGGAATGGCACGGGATCAAACTGTACTGTGGAATATAGGCTGAAGTTTCTTTTGCAACCAAGTACCTTCCATAGCCACAAACTTGCTGATGTTCACAACTCAAGCTGAGTTGTAACGCAAGACATATCTCATAATACATAATACTGAAGTATATTTACTCTGTAGATGCTTAATCATCTCACTAAGGAATATGAATGGATTAGGCATGCATTATTGGGGGTGGGAGGCGAAAATGGGTCCTTCCAGACATTATCAGTGGTACTTTCTCCCTAAATCTTGTGGAAAACTCTTGGCCAGCTTTACAACAGTTATCTTTAACCCCTATTCTGACCTCCTGTTTCTCAGGCCAGATGTCTTTTCTTTAGAATAAATTATGATTTATCGAAGCAGCCTCTTCGACTGACACAAATAATTAACCACTCAGAGTCTAACAGTGTAACATGTGTTAATGACATGGTTTCTGGTTTTAATAGCAAATGCAAATAGAAGAATGCTCATGTCTCTTCTCTGGTGGATCCGAAAAAGAGTATTTAATAACATTATGTGCCAGAATTATTTTGTATTTTTGGATGGAATCAAACAGTATAAACTGCTTAAGATAACGGATAAGGCTTACATTCCTGCCAGGACTATGGCTTCGCAAAGCTCCAACACTGGTTGGTAAAGGGGACATCATGCTACCTGACATATACTTGGCTGCAGTATTCCTAACTAATAGGGCATTAAAGGCTGCACTTGAGAACTAACATGTCTAGGGGTGGGAATTAGCAAGCAGCTGAAAATCCTGCTTAGCAGCTGACAGGATCTTCTTTACAATACCTGTTGATAAAACTGCTAATTGCCATTGAAAGAGTTATGATTTCTAAAGAGTAAACTCTCCCAGGAGAGAGTCTTGGGGGAAATGGGAAAATTTTTCTACTCATAATTATTCCCTCAAGTGAGGACCAAGAAGAGAAAGACACAGAGCATATGTCTTGATAATCCAACCTTCCTAAACCCGTTGCAGATGCTAATACTTTCAAGCTCTTTTAAACTGCTAATCCTTAATAAGTGCCTCACTGAGATAAGAAGGTCATTAAAGTTTCTGCTACTTTATATGTAATCGAAAAATCCAATTTCGTTTACTCATTTGTATTAGTACAACTTCCAGAAAGTGATCAAACTGTGTTATTGTTCTTCATGTTCTTATTTAGAAGCTATAATTAACTGGATAATAAATAAGTAAAAAAAAAAAAACAAAAAAAAAACATGAAAAGGAATGTCCATTCACTCAGGACAAGTACAATAGCTTCTAGGATAAACAATTTGAAATAAGGCACAGTACATTTAACATTTGAGATCCAATGTACATTATGAGACTTACTTTTTTCCTTGCAAGTTAGCTGAGAAAACAGCATTCATGAATAAAGGCGAAGAAGTGAGTCATTTTATTTTTAACTCAATCAAATCAAAGCATAGTTGACGAAAGTATATGCCTTATAGTCTTCTTACCACATGGTCAGACTTGCAGTTATGCACTGTGTCTCACAATTAAACGTACTAGTTTTCAATACTATTGTCCTAGTAATGGAAGAAACTTCACACAAAATGCAGACCTACGTAACTAATGTAGGTGTATAATTTCATCATGAAGTTTGTTTGATCCTGATCTGGTCTTCACATCTTGGCATTAATCTCTCCCTAAACCATCTATTCCCGTGGTCAAAATAGTAGTATACTGGGCCAAATAATGGTTATCAATATATTAGATGTGAAGGCTACAGACATGTAGACAAAAGGTACAGGCATAGCTAATCCACAGTACAAATAGCTTTAGTGGTAAAAGTTCATAGGTAGCTGCTCCACTTTGCTCAGTTATTATAAAAACACCAATTCTTAAAACTATCACAATATGGTTAAGTATAAAGCTTGGTGCTATTCTATTTTTCAACTAGAAAAAGAGATAAGGAACAAAGAGGATATGTCATGATAAATCATTGAAGTCATCCAGAAATATACTGAGAGAGAATCAAAAAGTAGACATGAATCCTGGGTTCTGTTACCAACCCTTTGGGCTCTTATTTTTATGACTCTAAATGTAGATTTTCAAAAGAACATAACATCATGTGCATTCACCGATTAACTTTTTAAAAATATTTTTCAGTGATTAAGTTACTTCTATATTGTTCTGGGTTTACAAAGATGAAAATAGAGCCTTCCTGTTATGAATATACTATATACAAAAAATAAAAAATTAGAAATTAATAAAACTTAGGAAACGTACAGATAAAGAGAAATGGAGACAGTAGAGGTGATTTTCAGCTAGGGAAATTTGAGGAAGACTTCATGACAGAAGTAGTATTTTACCCAAACACTGAAGGATATTATGAACATTCAGATACATGCTGGGGTCGAATAATAGAAGTGGGGAGGAAGTAAAGAGGTAATAAAGTGTAGGGCA